TCTCCCGTCTTCTAGGTTGGGGTCCGAAAGACTCCACAACTAGATGCTTGGAGACGCCGAAGGTTATGTCTGTAAAACGACAGCAATGGTGATCTTACTGTCACTTCCAATTGGACCAGGATGCTTGAAATAGTATGTATGCATAATTGGCCTGTGTACTCTGTGTTGATGATAGATATTTGCTTTCCCGTCCCTAAAAATAGGTCCAATCCCGTCGTCCTTCCACATTATAGTATACATGGTATGTACTATGGGTTTGACGGCGGTCAGCGAAGTTCGTTCTGTTGTATTAAGCTGTACCGTGATGACCCAAACAGATAGAAACAGTTATCTTGTTTATCCCCGGGTTTCAGCTCACACTTCATTTACACAACAAATTCATTAAATAATCATATCGAATCCTCTACTGCTATCATGCGATATAATGATTTGTTGCTTGTATGTAATGGTTAAATTGATATTTTTCGCAGAGCTCAACCGTCATTGTAACTGACAAATGCTTTTTCTCCTGTTACGAGAGAGGTTTTTTTGAAAACCAAGCACGGTAATTTCGCCGTTGATTCTTCATTGAATAGTGGGTTTTCGCCCTCGCTTCAGTCAAAGCACCTAGGAGAAGTGAATAATTCCGGTGAAATTTCCTCACGGGATATTCTCATATTCCTTTTATGGAGTAGAGAAACTGCATGTGTTCAGGGTGTGCTTCACACGTCCTTCAACCGTTCCAGGCGTTCGCTACGAAAACCGGCGAAGGGAATCTTGATACGTTATGCTTTGATAGGGAAGAAATGAACAAACGGGCGTTTTGTCGGATGTCGGGCAACACTTGTTGGCATCGGTTTTCGGGGTGCGCCACGCCGATCAACATTGGAAACATGTGGCTAGCATCTCACCATGTGTCTATATTTTCAGACCCTTGTCTGTTCATTGGTTCTACTGCTTTGTTATCTCCCTCTCCCTCGCTCCTTCCACGTGGGTTCGTCTACGGAACATTCAGGCCCTAAACTAGATATTTGGGACTTGGATTATGCCATTGAGCAATATAACTACGCTGCAACTCATGCCCAACTTCAAACACAGGTGTTACCGTCTAGTGGTACTCTAGTCCACTACATTGGCTCATTGCTTGATCTATTGGCCAATCTCTTCGGGCTTCGTGTTGTGGTAGATCGCATGGAATCTACCGCTCTGGCCGAACGCGATGATGTTGCACGGTTCAGAGTTGAAGATTGCCACACAGATTCTCTCCTGGGATATGTGATCCTCGACTTGTTTGCAAGGTGAGTGAAATACACAGTAATTTCATCACATTTTCCTCGCACACACACCGTCGTAACAGTGCGGTGACAACCGGACGCCGATTTATGACATCTGTTATTCGTGTTGCAGTGTATTGTTACGTAGATTCTTTAAACAGGTTAATCGTCGGTGTGATTATTTTTGTTCTGTTGTCGCAGGGCAGGCGATTTTCACTGATTAACTTTCCGTACCTTAACGTAGTTTGTTGTCATTGTAGTCTGTTTGTAAATATAATAATAATAATCAATAGTGCTATTTATTTATTTGATATGCATCAAGTGTACCTTCAGTATGCAAACAGAGTGGTTGATAAATCTCAGTGCTATCACCTACCATTCCTGTCGTCCTCGATCTGAAAGTGGTGTTCGACTCAGTCAACCGCACCAAACTCTGGTGCAGCCTTTCCATGATGGATGTGCTCGAGAAGTTTTAATATTACAATCCCTTGATACTAATAGCCGAAACCGAGTCTGGGCTTACGGCACATTTTATCTCTAGTTCACCAAAGAAAGCGGTGTTCGTCGAGGTTGCCCTCTCCATTTCAACGTAACTTTTTATTGTTTTAGCTATAGAAATAGCCCTATCCTCGTGCGAGAATAGTGGCATCGCGTTGCTCCCGGGTGGTAAACTGTCTGGTGTGGAGGTGGTAAACGAATCTTGCTAACTGAGCGTCTACATCTCACCCGATTACGCATAACGTATGAAGCATCGGCGTGCACACTGAAGGCTCGATTTTCATTTGCCAACTTGAGACATTTGTAGCACTGTCGCAACATCCAGCCGTCTGTGAAGGGTCGAGTGTATGCTGCAGCATTTCAACCAGCTCTGCTACATGACGAAGACAGGTAACCATTTCGAAACGGGGATAAAGATAGACCGTGAGTATTGCAACACTGCTGCCTACGCCTCGTCACTGGAATTTGGTGGGTAAACCGGACAAGTAATGCTTAGGCTAGGCGCAGAGTTTTAGCTAACCGTGGTCGGCCTCCGGGGACTGCGTTGTTAAGGGCATGTGTTACCCATGCTACCAAAACAATTGCCACGACGTTCAGTGTTTGTCGAAACAGATATTGGATGAAATAATGTTAAGGTGATCAAACTAGGACCTGGCATAAGGATATAAAAACCCTAACCTGGAGACTCGATCATATAGTTCGCGTTTGACTTCCTGAAGGGGTTTCTCAGGATCATTTCAACCAATGGTTAGGGATACTGAATGATCTGTCGTTAAACATTGTTGTTCGTGCACCTTCTCAATTCATTTGTAATTTTCGTCTAGTCACCTTCACATTGTTCTTGAAATACTCATCTTCCGTCTATCGCTTCATCCAAATAAGCAACCAGAAGACAGCAACTGAAACCACCGAACGGAAGTTGGGTGGCGGTGGCGCAGTGGTTTAATCGCTGTCACCTGCGTGCTTTGGACCCTACGGTCCGAAGTTCGAGCCCCGCCACCCGACTTTGGTGGTAGACAGCTCTGCTGTCGTCCGGTTCAATGCCACGCCTAACCTATCGGAGCCTTATGTGGTTCGTCACTCCGAGTTCCGGGGCTTAGGTTGCCGATTTCAACCACTGAACAGTAGGTCCTCGTGACTATGGGGTGTACCCCGTCTGCTGTTCATCACAACTAGGTGTGTAATAAAAAAAGGAAGTGTATGTTAATGGTTGTAAACACTGAAACTGAACTCATTATCATCGGATGCATCTTCAAGTCACTAATAAGATAAAGCAACCTAGTGTTACCGGGATGGCACTTTGTACCGCAATCCCCAAGATTCCGTTTCTCTTCGCCAAAGAAAGTCGATTATCAAAAATAAGGTTATCAGCGCTAACTTTCCGTTTCAAATTAATTCTCCATGAAACACCCGGTACAAGGTTGCCATCATTTGTAGAATCGTGTTATAATGTAAACCTCCGAAAACCTCAGTATGTTTGGATGGATGTCTTGGGTTGTGGCTGGCCACCCTTCCCTCGCACCTCACGGAATACTTCCATATGATGGGGCGTTTAAAAGAGCCTACGCAGGGGAATCAGTGCTCACTGCCTTTACGTGGCCATAGTGTTTTCCCACCAATACGGGAGGATGAAAATCCAATATCAGGGGCTATAACCGGGTCGGTGAACCCCTGGTAGTTCATCTAGAGGAGTTAGCTAAAAACCCTGGTTTTTCCAAACCATTCAAAAAAGAGGCGTACGAACCACACCCTCGTGGAGCTGGAAACGTCGCGATATGGCGGAGTAAATAAAAAGTGTGATCACCTTAGATGTGCGATGTATTTGGCATGAGAAAGTGAACAGAGTAAGTAGGTAAAATAGGTGTGTCTCGTCTTCCCGGTCGTAGTCCAAAAGGCTTTGGAACTGGTCGATTGGAAACACTGCAGTGAACCGGTAGCAGTGACGTTCTTGTTGGCACGTCTTATCAGGTCAGAATGCTTGGAAGTTGTGTGCATACAGTTAATCTGTAGTCTGTAGGTTGGACACTGGTGTTTACCTCTCTTGCCCCTCTATCTCAACTTGGGCGCAGATCCTGTTCATCTTACATTTTCTCACTTAGTCTACATGATGAGCTTGGAATTTTGTCGCTTTACGATGAAGATGACGATATTGCAGCTCCAAAAATGCACAGACATTCGTTTGAGTGGCGATCGCTCATTGAGGCATGGACAGTCGCCATGTGACGAAGTGTAGACTAAATGCTGAGTTACGTAGTTTGTTTAAAAGGCGTTTTAATGCGATGAGTTTTATGCACCAATCGGCACTCTCCTCTGCTTTGGAGAGGAATGTGAATATCCGTCATAGGTACCGATTGAATGATTGCTTAGATCTGTGTTTTTTGTTTGACCGTGAGAACGTATAAATGAATCGGGATGCTTGTTAGAGCATCATATGGTAAATATATCCTCCCTTTCCCTGCATATTTTTCTTTCCTTATAGAGCAATTTTCGAGTTAAAACTCTCCTGTATTCGACGAATGCGAAGCTTTAAATATATATATTTTTGTTTGCCAATTTCTTTTTACTGTTCTACCTAGGTAACTGTTGAAAGTAAAAGAAAGGAATTCCTCTCGCAGTGTTTATCTGTTGACTTTCCCTGTTCAAATTAATTACGGATTTCAAATGTACCAGTTCTCTAAAAGGATAAACTTTCCGTGCTTCAACCACCCGGCTGTATTCTTGGATATTCTCTCACTCTTCACTGTCTCACTTTAGGGAAAACACCAACCGCACGATAAGTTAACAGATAAAACTTCCGTTTTGCATTTCCTGACCATAAAAATGAAGTTCTCCTCAGCTAAGGTCAATCTGATCAAGTATACTTATGTACTCTTCAGAATTTGCATCCATTTCGTGTTTGTGTTTTTAAATTTTACGATGTTTCTGCGTAATTGGCTACTTCTGAGAAATAGTCAATTGTCCTTTCTCTTCCACTTTTGTTACGCGATACTTGTTTTTCTTCTTATAATTCGTATGCCTTGATCAGCTGGTCCTATAAATGTTTCTTGTTTGTTTGTTTGTTTTTTGATGAATCAGACCTAGCAGACCGGTTCTTCTGGGCTGTGCTATTCCCGTTTCCGTAACAAATAACTGGGGCACACGTGAACCGAAACCCAGTGTTCACATGGCATCGATCGATAGTTCCGATTCCCGACCCACACTTGTACTGTTGTCGGACATTCCTTTGAGCGCTCGAACGGAAGGTATCAAGGTTCAAGTGAGTCCTTTTTCGAAACCGTTTCAGTTCCTGTTTGCGCGCGAAGTGTGGTGTTTCACCTCATGTTCTGTATCTTCCCTTTGATCGCATTCAGTCTTTCCCTCAATTACTTTAATCAGTCCACACCCATTTATTCTTCTCTGTCGCATACTGTGGACTATGCACTCTGTGTGTTGACCATTGAGGTTCACTTTCTTTGCCCCTCCCTGAAAATAGGTGCAATCCTTATCCTTCTTACACACCTTACTTACCTTGTATGCATTACGAATTTGGTAGCGATCACTGAAATTCCCTTAACAGTGTTACGCTGTACAATGATGATGATGACGATCATATTCCATACTAAGTAACTCTGATCACCAAACTTGTTGGCGCACTCAACAAATGCTGCAATGTCCTTTACCCACTCTATTCATTTACTGATGGGAGCTCAATTTATCTGAAAGTCATGCCGTCGCCCCAATAGATGAAACTTGTTTGTCGTGTCGGCGGCGTACGCTTCAACGGACTGCGGCCCAAATGCGGTCAAAGATGAATTTTACCATGATCTACACGACCTCGCATAAAGCAAGTTGGACTGACGTCGTGGTTTTAGCAGGAAACATAAATGCTAGAGTAGGTCGACTAAGACGCACCTGGGAGGTCCTTTCGGACTGGATTTCTGTCGTTCGGAAAACAGGGAACGGCTGTTGGCTCTGCGTTCCGACCACCGCCTATTCCTCGCCCGTACTAACTCCAGACGCTTCAACTGCCGATACGCCCCCGAGTGAAAGACGGAGGCAGATCGACCACGTCGCTATAAACCACAAATGGCGGGGTTGTATAGAAGACTGCCGGTTGTACTGGAGTACTACCCTCGAATCCGACCACGTCTCAGTTTGCGCCGAGCTGTCAATGTGCTTCGGTATGCGTTCTAAACGCACGATACAGCGACTGTTAAACTGTAACAAGTTGTCTGAACCAGCACGCCTAACTGTCTTTCAGAACGCGCCAGCTGAAAAGCTAGAATGAACGCCACCCGATTACAATAACCAGCCCTGGTCGCTTATCGAGAATGCTCTGCATTCTGCTGAATTATTTAGTTATTCTCGATTGGTGAATGCAGTTCTCCGCGGTTAGCTAGTGTCATGCGTGTTTCGTCCTATTGTTTTGGGATTTTCACTTTTTACCCATTACATATGTAGTAACTGCAGGCTGTGGTGTTGCATTAATCCCGTGGAAACCATTTGTTTGACCGATTGATTGTGCAGTTGTCTGTTCGATAAAATGAATTTACAATATTCCGACTGAGAATTTTTAATAGAAAATAACTTTCTCTTTGGCCCCTTTTACATCTACTCTTTAGGATGTCCTTTCAATAGCTTCCGGATTCGGCTCTTGCCTTCAACGCATCCTCCCACATGCATATCACCATACGTTGTCGGGTATCTCTGCCTATGTTGCTCCAGACTCGAGTTACCTTGTGCCAGATCTGTGTTCCACCCTCATGTACACCTCGGTGATACGACCACAGAGAGAGTCCTCTTCCAAGACATCTACCAGTTCCAGTCAGTTGTACACGGATCCAAGTAAGTGGAACTCTTTCCACGACCAGTCGCCATTTCCGAATTTAACCCTTTTTCTCTTTTGAAAACTATCAAAATGCTTATCATGGGAAAGATGTTAATGACTCACACGGAAGCTTTTCCATCCCCCTCACCCGTCATCTGCTGTGCATATCCAAACGTCTGAGTTCAAACCGTGTGTTAAACAAGTCACTGTACCATAATCTCTATAAAAAGAAATATTTCCCATAATTTTGCTCGTGGGCGCGACACTGCCAGGTTGCCCAGGCCAAGGTGAATTTTATTGGGGACCTCACAAAGGGTCCTTCAGCTAACTGAAGCCTGACAACGGGTCTGTGTGAGAAAACCGCAGTCGTTTGCAAGCTGGTGTCCACTCGATCGATTCATTAGTTCGCCGAACGGGACCAAACGTCCAAGATGCCGAATACACCTCTATGTCTAATCGAGCTGTTGACCATTGCCACAACCACGAAGGTGTGGGTGAGGGGTTAGTTTGGTTCACACGCCTCCTCTTGATTGGTTTGGAATCAGAGTTTTAGCCTACCCCCCGAGATGAACTACTAGTGGTTCAACAATCCGGTTATAGCCCCGGATTTTGGTAGTGCAGATTGGAAGTTATTTGAACCATGTATGCGGACCCGTCGCCGATTCAGTGCTGAGGATCGTGTATGAACTGATGCATTTTCCCCGCCACAGAGAGGCTGTGGGATAAGATGCTATTATTTACTGCAATGAGAGCGCATTCCCAACCGCGGATCGGCTTTTTAAGAAAATCATGTAAAATGCGCGTCAGATGGTTGAGTTTCTTCAATAATGTTGCAACAAATATGGGATTTCATACAATATATATATATATACATATATATATATATATATATATATATATATTGTATTCTGTGTTTCAACAGTCTCCCAAAACAGTAGAGTGGTGTATGTTTTCCAATCACTTTACTCTCATTTTGAAACGATGGTGTCATGGGCAAATTAGATACCAAAGGACCCTGTGATTTATCTAGTTTTGGTGGTCCCTATGGGTTGTAATCGTCGTGAGACCAACGGCTCGTTTAGGAAATCGGCAATCTATGCGCTTATCATGAAGTAATTTTTCCGTGGAATTTATGTATGTTGGTAAAAGCTACTCTAGCTTTCCCTAGTCGTGATGTGATCTCCACAACACCTTCAGCTGCGATCAAACCTGCGAGGTACTTGAAGCTCTCAACCACTTTCAGCTGATCACCACAGAGGGTCAGTGCAGGTATGTGCTTCTGCCGGTCTTGTACATGCAATTAGCATTCGGATAGTAAAAAGCACATACCATACCTCGATACCTCGATCGTTGTGTGGTTCAAAATGTGTTGGACTTCCTGTGTGTTGTCACCCAGCAAGGCGATGTCATTGGCAAATTTTAAGTCAAGAACGCTATTCCGTGTAATCCAACTCCATTGTTTGCTAAACCGGACAAAGCATTCTGTAGAACATCCTCTTTGGCAATGATGAAAAAGAGTGAGGATATAGGGTGACCTTGTCGAACTCCACTAGGGACCGCAAAGGATGGTAAAAGTTGTTCACAGGCCAAAACGGAACATGAAGTATGATGATGCAACTCTTTGAGGAGCAACACATACGTCTCAAGTACTCTATATCTCGACAACCAGCTCCATGGTGCGGTCCTATCTACAGAGTGAATATCTAAGAACACAATGAGCGTTAGTCTGTGGTGCGCATGACGGTACTCTAGCAGCTGTTGGAGGTTGAAGACTTGATCGATGTATCCACGACTGGTGCGAAACCCATCCTGCTCATCGCATGTCTACTTTTCACCTATATTGTACAGTCCGCGGAGAACGACGAACGCCAACAGCTTTGACGCTATTGGTCTAAGACTTATGCCCCCATGATTGGCGCAGTCACTACTTGAGCCATTTTTAAAGGTGGAGACGACAGTTGATCCACCTCAGTATGCCAGACTTTAGAGAACAGAGTTGCCAATTTTCTAACAAGGTTTATTCCACTGAATAGAGCTGGAGGAAGGCCGTAGGATTCTGGCGCTTTGCGGTGTCACAAGTCTTAAATCCCCTT